TGTAGTGGAATTGTTATTTAAAATAAGAATATTTTTTTTTCTCAATACGATAAGAATAGGTAACTACTTCCATGAGAGGTAATCTACTCATGCCTGATGTGATGTTGTGTACCCTTCCCATTATGAGAAAGGTCGCTACCGCTCTCATAAGAACGCGACTAGCTGCTAATGCTAAGAGCCTAAGAATAGGCCTTCAATTATTGGATCCAATTATTGGATCCACGAAATTGACCTTCCCGATCTCCGACCTTCATCCGTCCCAAATCTATTTGATATGCTTAGTTAATCGATGTCAAGTTACAAAATGGTTATTAAGTTACAAAATACAGATTAGTTAGAAATTTTTTTGTTAAGATTTTTAAGTTTAATGACCATCATTTATTAAAAATCCAAGAGGTGAGTGCCCGAGGGACAAGAGGAGATAGGTTGATAACACCCTTAAGTGTTAGCACCATATATACTATAGTAATTACCCCTTCCCCCTACCCTTTTCTCTACGTTGTTGTAATAGGGTTATGTATACAAATTACAGTTCTGGTACCCAAACTTAACATATATTAATATTTAGTACCTACAATTAAATTGTTTACATATAAGTCCTAAAAATACTGATGGAAAATTATATGTAGTACCTACACTTTTTTCTCTTACATTTTGATACCTAAACTTTTAAAGTTTTGCAAAAGGGTCCGCTATTAAAGAAACTTATGTGCCACTTTAAGAAACTTGTGGCCTGGATTTTGTCGATTGGATTTTGTGGTTTTTGGCTTGAATTTTGTGAGGTGAATTTTGTGATTTGTGGGGAGAATTATGTGGGTTGTGGGAGGATTTTGTGGGGTGGATTATGTGGTTTGTGGGGAGGATTATTTGTGGAGAGGATTTTGTGATTTGTTGGGTGGATTTTCCCTTCCTATTTAATTGCACACGTGACTCTCCCTTCCCCTTCACCCAATTTTTCATAATACCAAGCATGCCCCTCCGTCCATTCTCCTTCATTAATTGTGGTCAACTCATTTAAATGAAAAAGTCATTCAAACAGAATGTTCTTATTTGTTGGAGCTAGTGTTAGCACCATGCTAACAAAAAAAGTGTTAGCACACTAGCCCAACCCTTGAGGCCCAACCCCCGAGGGACCACTTAGCCAATTAAATCCAATAAATATGATAAAAATCAAATGCAACATACAAAGCATTTATACTCATATACTTAAAAGTGGATTTTCCTACTCGAGCCACCATTAACATAATAATGTTGATGACCGCTCACAATCTCTAAAATAAGCACTTCAAAATTGAACACGTCAATTTTTGTCAAAAATTTACCTTGCCAAAAATTTAACTTAAGAGGATTTCCCTACTCTAGCCACCATGAACAATAACAATGTTGATGACCGCTCACAATCTCTAAAATGAGCACTTCAAAATTGAACAAGTAAGTTTTTGCCAAAAAATTTACCTTGCATTGCATGTTTTGAAACCATATATCCGCTGCAAATAAAAGCGCCCACACCTGAATTTTTATTACTCGCATTGAACAAAGACATATAAATAATTTTGCGTACTTTGCACTCACTAAGTTGTAATGATTCTACTCATATTTTTTTATGAATAAGAGTTTTTTCCCCCAATGATATCTGGTTTTTATTTCTGAACTTTATCTAGTGTGCTAATCCTGTCTAACTGAACAAGCCAAGTTAAGAAGGATTTCTTAGTGATAGAATGATGCACCCATACCAGATCAAACCAAACATCTTTTCCTCTTTTTTATCTAAATGACTATATATTACCTGCTGGATTTTATACTTAGGCATAGGTTTATTCTGCTCATATGCATTGATCGATTTTTCTAAAACACATGTGTACTACACCCACTTAACTAGCGAAACCTCGTAAATGGTTCATAATTTGTGAGTTACCCGGATCTATTTGCTGACAGGCGGGGATCGGGAAGTAGGTACCCATTCTCGATCCGCCCCCGATGCCATCTCTAATTATCAGTAAAATCACGAATTTCTCATACATGGAAATGGAAATGATGAATCTAGGAAATTTGTAAATTATAGATGAATAGACACCCACAACATATTCAATCGGCCATTAAGCCTTTATTTTTTTGGGGTTGTAAGTTGAATCCGCCTTTCCATAGGTACGTGCGATCATGAGTGCACAAAAGATTACATTTGACCCACCACATATATGTTCATCCATCTTTTGATTATGCGTTTTTGTTATTATAATTTCCTAAAGGCACTACATATCTTCCCTAACGAAGTAAATGTCTCACATACTTTGAGCTCGTGGCCATTCATTTGAGACCATGCAACATATATATGGGGTAGTTTTGCCCTTTAGTCCTCTTTTCCCTTGGCTAATTAATAAGGCCTCGCCCTTTTATCTTTCTCGTTATGGTCCACATTCTGCTTTGTGGGAAATTAAAGGACAAAATGTTGTGAAGCTTTCTTAAAAAATGGCCTCCAATAATGCTCTGTGTTGAGCTTGTAGGAAAGGGTGATGGTAATTATGATTCCACATGGAGATTTGAAGACGTGTAATTCTAATCATCAAGAAGCTATAGCTTTCATATAGAGCTGTTGCCTTTTGGGATACATATGTCCAAACCCCACATATTGCGGGAGGAAAAAAAAAACTAATTATCAAACGGTTGTAAAATCATATTAAAAGTTGTACCGCAAAACCGTTAATAATGTAAAGTATTTTGTGTATTAGAAAAGTTAATGTCATCAACTGTTGTAAGACCTTACTAGCGAAGTTAATGATATAGAATATTATGTGCTGAAATAGTGGTTCGGTGGTTTCATGCCATTAAAAACGCCTATCATCTCGAGCTCCAGTAGTTGACGATTCTCTATAGTTTTGCAAACACTACTACTTTATTACTCAAACAAATGTTGTGTATTGAAACCCTAATCTCTCTCATATTAAGCCCTATATTGTGTGAGAGAGAAAAGTCAGCTAGAATAATATTGTCACGATGAATACAAGATTAGGGCACATAAGCAAGTGTGCATAACTTTCAAGTGATGTGGGGAAGAGAAATCAAATATGTACTACCGACTGACCATATCCATGCATGGATGGATATATATATACCTTGGAAAAACCAAATCGATCGACGATAGGTGTTGTGTGGTTGAGAGAGAAATAGTAAGAGTGGTGGGTGGGTGGTGGTGGTCATGATGGATCATGGTATTCAACACTAGCAGTACAGTAAATTACCAAGTGAAAAAACAGAAACTCAGAATTTGCAGAAGACAATTATAAGAGAGAGAGAGAGAGAGAGTTTGTGTGTATATATGGTCAGTCAAAGGGAGTAGCTAGATTGATAGGTCGTGTCAAGCTACAGTGGATCCATCACCCACCACCCTACAGAACTTTACAGAGACAGACAGCAGACTGCCCTCAATTCAATTTCCAGTGACCCAAATTCTGCAATAATATTATGAAGAAGAAAGAGACAAACCAGAAGAACTGCACTGCTACTTCTCCTCTCTGCACTGCACTGAGCCCTGTACTTCTCCTCGCTGTTACCAATTAGCTTGTATAACCAAAGATTGTAAAATCGTATCGTTGTAAAATATTTATACCGATAATAAAATCTTAAACGAGATTGAATTGTGTTACGCGATTGATACAACACGAGTTTACAAACACGGCTTCTAACAGCTAAAAAAATAAAAATAATCCTGAACTAAGAAAATCCCGGAGGCTTTTTTTTCCCCTTAGATCTCCCACCAGGGCATAGCTTTACCAATTGGTGCTCTATCTATTTATCTTCAGTCTTTACTTATAACTAGTTAGGGCTCCACAAGAATCCTGGTCATGATCCTGTGCTAAACTCGATGTTGGTTGGCCTTTGGCCTTCTGCTTTGGTTTCTTTATCCCACTTTTTTGTACTACTGCCCTGGCTCCAATCCAATATATCTCGATTGATTGCCCATTTCCTTTTGTCTCTCTGCCATTTATTAGCTCTCACTGATCAATCATCATCACAGCCCTAGCTAGGTGGCTAGCTCCTCTTCACAAGATCATATACCTTTTCTTATTACATTCCTTCGTCGATATGTGCCCTTTTCTTCTGTATATGTAGGACTCTGATCAGTTGTTGCGGGAAGGAAATTGCTATATTGTTAATAGGCCCTAGTTAGTGATTGTCAAGGAGTAAAACATATTGTGAAATTGCATCGAAAGGTTATAGTGAACATTTTAGGGGTATGCATGGTATTGTTTGTACTAAACTTGTGCGCGATGGTACTTTCATTATTAACACGTCCCCCCTCAAACGAAAGGCTACTCTGTATGGGCTTGAAATTTTTAAATTTCTGAATATCATATGGTTAACAAATGGTGTCGTCGGAATTCAAACCACCAAGACCTCTCGGTCTTTAAAGACTCTGATACCACGTCACGAACCAGTTGATCCCAATATATAACTCGAGTTGTTAGGAGAGGTTTAATTATGAATCTTAAAATAAATAATTACAAGCGTTTCATGTCACTAAAGTGCCTACCAGTTTGGTATACAACACCCGATATTCCTGGTCCGTCGGTGCAGGTCCATAATTGAACCTCTCCTACCAAACCGATAGTAGATCTCTCTAAGACATTGCCCCAATCTATATCTGAAGTGCTTATTTACAAATAGAAACAATGCAATCAAAATTGCGATTCTACGTACGTATAGAAGCGTTGTGACGACCTAGAAGTATAAAAATGTAATCTTTTAAGTTTTTAACAAGTAGGTTTTGAGTACACTTGTAAGTGAGAAGTGCGGTTTTATGTAGAAGCGTTTTGGTAATCTAGAAGTATAAAAGTTTTAACATTTTAAGTTTTAAAACACGATTTTGACTTTATAAAATAAAAATAGCAATAAAGTTTTCAACATGAAAGCTTATTATTAAATGGTATTGTAGATATCTAGTCAATTACCATGAATCTCAAGAAATTGACCTATAGGTAATGGGTAGACGAGAACATCCACCACACCCTTGCTTTGAATTTAGAGGTCAACAAAAAACAAAACAAAAAAATCTAGTTACCATGCTCATAAAAAAAAAATCAAAATATCCCCATATTTACTTTCCACCAACTTATAACCTTAAAGATTAAAACTGTCAAAATAATGAAAAATATATACAAGTCACCCCAATTACACAGGACCAAAAACATTCCGAAACTTAATCAGCACACATGCATTGTAATTAAGTTATATAAGAGTCCAGTCGCAAGGAAAAAAAAGAGCATGCATCATCATCATCATCGTCGATCATCAAAACGACGGCGCATCGATACGATCCACGGGGCCAACGGCGGCGTGGCCGTCACCAAATGCCCTGATGTGGTCTTTCAACGACCGCTTGTGCTTGAAGTCGGAGCCGCAGAGGCAGTACCAGAGGCTGCCGCAGTTCTTCTCGTGGGTCCGCCAGTCGCCTCTCACGGCGAACGTCTTGCCGCAGCACTTCCTGCAGACGAAGGGCTTGACGCCGTGCTTCCGCTTGTAGTGCGTCTGCAGCGTCCGGAAGTCCTTCAAGGGTTTGGCCCTTGGGTGGTCGATGTTGTTCTTGCAGCCCGGAGAGCAGCAGTAGCAGGGAAGTCTGAGCATTCCTGTGGGCTGTGTTCCTCGAAGTGATTCGGGTCCTTTCCTGTACTCGGATCCATGGCCCCACATGTGCATCTGCAATTGTAATATCGATGCCATATTTAGTTATTGTTTTCAAAGGTGAACTATATGTATGGCATCGCTCAAACTCGATCGTACGACGATTAGGGTTGTTGAGACCAACTGATATTGTTGATGTCATAATGAACATCTTTTTTTTTTTGGGTCAGGGAGGTTTCTTGCATGAATCGTGAGATACTGTATTGAAATACATACAACAAATTACATTCACCATTTTTTCGGATTTAAGGTTTGTGATTTAGATGATTTTGACCTATGGTTTAGCCATTAAGGATTAGAGTATAGTATGATGCCTGCTAAATTCGGTTAACTAGATATCTAAATAGCATTTTTTTTCTGGGTTCATAGTAAGAGTATGTGGTATACTAGAGCTAGCATTTATGGTAGATGCCACACTTTATTATATAAGTGAGAATGTTATACTCCTGGTGATACTAGTGAAATGACACTATCTAAATCACGAGTTAATAAGGACTTGGAGCGTGATACTACATCTTAACCTCTGATAGGTGAACCTTCATACTCTAGTTTTCTAAACCCAACCCCAATATCGCTTTCGTCAAATACAATAATAGATGGTTGTAATTGGTAGAAGTTATCAAAGTATATCAAAAGTCGAGATAACCAAAAATACACCAGTGTTTTACCACATATATCAGATCTAATTCATGAATAATCTTATCTGATCTAATTACAATTCATGAATCATCTGATCTAATTACAATTCAAATGTTCACAGTAAAGTAGTTCTTATTGATTCCGTGATTCTCATGTATAAGTCCTGCTAATTATGGTCCAAAAATTAATAGTTTAATTAAAAAGATACAAAGTTCACTTATTTCAATATTTTGATTTTCATTTGAGAGTAAGAAGTATAATGAACATTTAATATCGACATTATTCCAACAACTTGAATTATGATTTCTGTAAAATTGTGTTTTTACCACTAGAATATCTATGCACAAAGTTCAAGACAGTAGTAAGGAATGAATTAAGGAAGTGGACAACTTGGCACAAAAGGAACATATAACCCGCGACTTGTTCAATCAAAAAGCAAAACGCCATTACAATTTATGGTCTACCTCCAAGATTTGCTCGGACCCCTTTTATATAAGATCATGGGTCGGAATGGTGTAATTTCTGAGAATACAATATTTTGGATATTTTTAGTGAAATAGTTATATTTAGATCAAGAATTAAATTGTGTTTTTGGTGTGACAATATATATTATAATTTGTAATGTATGAACTTCATGTTTTAATTCTCTAAACTCAAACCGAAAAATCAAATTAATAAAAATATTAAACGGCGACTAACATTCATAAAAGCACAACAAAATACATCCAAGGGCCAAAATCATTTGGAGTATAGCATACTCCAAAAACATATAAGTCATGACATAATTATATATATATATATAAATATAACTAATTCCCCTAGAAATTCCTTTTGAGAGAAATCGAGGATTGGATCTAGCCTAAGAAAATAATCAAGTGGTGCATATGATGATCACCATTTGAATTGTTTCTTGATAAGAAATAATAGATCTGAGAGCTTAATCAGCTAACAATAGGGAAATGTGAATATTGTTGGTTTAATCTTAATTTGAGGGAAATGAATCTCTTTTTTTTTTTTTGTAAATTTAAAGATAGATAGTTACAAAAGTATTGAGTAACCCATACATAATTAATGTAATCGAAGGGGATTTTTGTACAGCTAAAGTGGACAACCCTGAATGAATGATTTAAGGAGTAATTTAGCAGCAAAAGAGTAGTAAGAGTAAAGAACCTGCATGTTGTTGTAACGGTTGAAGGATTTGAAGCACAGAGGGCAAGTGAACTGAGTCGGGCCTAACAGGATCTGGGTTGGTGTCGGGATCCAGTAACCGCTCCCCTTCAACATCTTCTTAGCCTCCTTATCATCGTTGCTGCCAAGCATCATCACAGGGTCGCCGGAGGAATCATCACCGCCGTCGGAGGTGGAAGATGAAGTAGAAGAGTTATAACAAGTAGTAGTAGTAGTAGAAGAAAAGGAGCAAGAGTGAAGGAGGGCAGATTTATGAGCCGTGTCGGCGGAAGTAGTATGGCTGCAGGTGGGTAGACCTATCCTCAGCGCCACGCTCACCTCACCACTTTCTTCTTCTTCATCGTGATCTCCATCATCAACATGTTGTTGGTGGTGATGGGGAGAAGGGGAGATGCTGAGAAAGGGAAACGCTTGCTTCGATGGAGGCGATGATGGCGAAGGGTCGTTGTTAAGATCTAGAGCAAGAAGAAGAGGAGGAGGAGGAGGAGGAGGTTGCAAATAGTAGTAATAGTTATGCTGCTGCTGGTAAGATTGCTGCAGATGATGATGATGATGAAGAAATTGGCTGTCCAGCTGCTGCTGCTGGCAGTAGTTGCTTGGGTAGAATTGTGAGGGGTGGGAGCAGAAAGAGGAGTAATTAGGGTCTGCCATATGATGAGTACAGATTGTGGAGTGGATGGAGGGGAAAAGGTTGGGGTGGGAAGGTAAAATGGGAGCTGGCTGGGTGAAGAGAACAGTGGTTTCTTTGTTTTTTCTCTGCCCTTTGATGGGGATAATGCTGCTTTTTTTCTTCTTCCCTCTTTGCTAGCTTTTCTTTTATATATGCCCTAGCTAGCTACTTATTATTGTGAATAAGAACCCAAAAACAATATCTAGAGAGAGAGAGAGAGAGAGAGAGAGAGAAGAGGGGCAGAATGAATGGTGGACATCAATGACCCTGGATGTCCCTACTTTGGGGTCGATCGACCCAATACCTAACTCGCTCTCTAGCTACTTCACTTGTTGGTGTTTCAGGAGGAAGAAACTCTATGCAGGAAGAAAAAAAGGTGGATTCAAGTCAAGTGGTTTGGCTATGACTTTACTTGGGAGTTAAGTGGTCAAACATGCAATTGGTATATAACATTTAGGTGACATCCTCTGATATTTATCTAGGATGAACGGTTGAAAATAGATCACGGATGTGCCCAGATCTATGGTGGTCGTTTGATTTCGAATAATCAATGTAGTCGAAATCGCGCTTTAAAACTTACGGTTTTACATTTTTAGGTCACTAAAACGCTTCTACATCAAAATCTAAGTTTTTATAACTTATGTAGTTAAGAACTCAGCTTTAAAAACTTAAAAACTTACGATTTTACGCTTCTAGATCACCAAACGTTTCTATATAGAAACTCGCTTTTGACTATATTGCGAATCATCGTGGGAATTCACGGTAGTCTTTTCTCGTGTGAAGCGCAATTTATTCTTTTGGAGTTGATGCAACAGACTACGCGAGCCTCGCCTAATTATGAAACCAACATAGACTTCTTGAGGAGATCGATAATAACATTCAAAGAGATCGAGGAAGAACTGTCGTCGCGAAAGGATCCAACATATGAATCAGGAATTTTAGGCTCTAAAGAAACGAAATGGAGATCAATAAATCAAGAGTGAATAGTTTTGTGACCTTTTGTGATAACTACCCGGAATTCTAATGGATCAATCTGACACACTTGTCTCGTTTTCAGACAATTGGGTCAGATTGACTCGTTTGTGCAGCATAAAATTTGAATGAACCAATTTTGCCTGGGGAATCCTGGATTGACTCATTTTGAGGCAATTACAATTGTCTGGGGTGGGGGCAGGTAATTCGAATTGACTTTGTTTTAAATGACTCATTTTTTTTAAACGAGACAATTGGATATATTGTATCGTTTTGCAATTGATCCATACAAATGACCCCCTAAGTTTTGGAAAACCCTATTTTTGCCCAGGATCTCATATAGTAGGACCCCATTTGCTTCGTTCATCTCCTCTTCTTTCAGTCAAGCTACTTCGTTCCTCTCATTTTACATAAGTATTTGGTACAAAGATGCAGTCTGTTGGCCAATTTATATCCACCGATAAATTTCAGAACATACCATTACACTATAATAAAGTCGAGTGATTTTATTTGGCACGGCAGCCGCGGCATCAAAAATAAGACTTGGATTATGTCTTGTGCTATTTAATCTTGATTAATGCTAAGTACACAAGGACAAGTGGTTGATCGAGTACTAGTTTGGCTAATTATTGGCTACACGGTTGATGATGATGGGGACTCGAATTAATGCTATGAATTATGATACACGTACGTAGGGTTTATGGCGACTACTAATTGCATGCTTCAGCGGCTTATTATTACGGCTGCCAGTTGCCAGATTACGACTCCATCATAAATATTCATAAGGTGGCTTGTAAACCCTTTCTCTCGTGCGTTCCTCCTTTTTCTTTCGATGAATTAATCATGTAAACATTTCTTCATTGACTACTCTCTGCCAGGGTTCAAGAAGGCGCGCCTAGGCGCACGCCTAGACTCAATTAGGCGCTAGGCGGTGGAGGATCGCCTTGACTTGGCCATAGGCGTTGAAAAAGGCGCTGGTAGCGCTTAGTAGGTAGGAATAGCGCTTAGTTTGTGCCTAGTGGAAAGAAGGCGTGCCTGGGCAAGCTTAGGCAGTTAAACCCAATACTCTTCGTTTTGTCCTAGAAAATCAGAAACTTGCCTCTTGCCCTAGAAAATCAAAAACACGGGAAGTAACATATGCTGCCGCCTGCCGCCCTAGCGCTCGCCCCATTTGCTGCTCTCTGCCGCCGCAGGAGAAAGTCATCGATCACTCTTCTCGCCTTCACACCACTCCGCTGCTATAGTGGGAAATAAAGTTGAAACTCGTCAATTGCTGCTCCTTCCTTCTCCTCGGTACGTAGCACAAGCTTCTTGCCTCTATAAGCAGCTATTAGCAGATGATGGGTCACTTTTTGCTTGTTATTTGTTATGTTAAGTGTTTACTGTTAAGAACTAGGAATTGCTAATTTTATATGCACTTGGATTATATGAATTATTCCAGAAAACAGGAAATATTTGAGAATTTTTCCATTTATGCTCTAAACGCCTAGGCTACGCCTAATCGGGCAAGGCGCAAGTTAGGAGCCGAGCGCCTGCCTTACGCATAGCGCCTTTTAGAACCTTGCTCTCTGCTACCAAACTGCACTAATTTCTTTTCGTTTTAACCTCCAATCCTAGACTTCACAATCCAATTATTGATGAGATTAAAAATGCCTGTAGTTTTGTTCATCGCGTCGAAATATCGTCTTTATAAGAGAAAATGACATTGTTTTCATAAAACCTATCATAACGAATAAAAGATACACAATGTATGCATGTCGTCAAAAGATTGACCAGGAGGTACAATAAGAAAAATAATAAAACAAAACCAAAGCATGGATTTGTTTTACTAAATATATTGAAAGAAAAACACATTGATCATATTTATACTAATAGCTTATGAGCCCTTGCACAGCAACTACATATCATATATGATAATCAAATTATGAAAAAATGAACTTAAATCTAATACATTAATACACTGATATTAATTACTTCAACAGCTCCTATCAAGTTGGAGCATGATTGTTAATTCAGAGTGCCCTGCATGAAACTATAAGATTCAAGGAGTAACATAGGGAGCTTTGATTTGACGAGACATGACGTGCAATTAGCTTATCACAACGTAACATTGACTAACAGATTATAGAAAGCAACATAGATAACTTGATTTGAAGAGACGTGTATATTAGCTTACCAGTTACCACACACAAAACGGATAATCAATCTCGATATGTTTTACTCGCTTGCAAGAGAGTTTTTGGATAACCTAAAACCACGTACACCAAAGAATATACATACTACCTAGATCATTCAACAATTGCACTTTCACTCCTCAATATTTGATGTCCATACACAGCAGCTAGCTAGTTGGTTTCCATTTCCATACATGGACCCAATTTTTTGTCATCGCCCCCATTAAAAGATTGGGTTGTTTAATTTCTTCATGGTTTGTGGCCACAAGAAAAGGGTGTGGTTTCACCTTGATTCAAGGCTTTATTATTAGTTTGTTTTCTTTCTTTGGCACTCTTTCATTTTCATTCACTTTGCTGGTCTACTGGTTGCTTGTATCGCAACAGTAGTATCACTGTAGACAGGAAGCTCCCCACCTATAATAAATGAGGCTCTCTCCACTTTTTGCTGCTAAAAAAAGCCAAAGCAAAAGGAGAGGGCCTATCTCTCTCTTCATGCCTGCATGTGCCATGTCCAATGATTTATTGGTCAATCAGTAATCTTGCAGAGTGAAAAGGAAGTGGCCAAAATATATATTATGCTCTCACCCCACGTTGGTATATCATTCATGAGTCTCTCAATCTAAGGAACCAAATTCTCTCCCTCTCTTTCAAAGTGAATATGAGACTACTCTAACCGTGGCGGAGTCAGAAATCTGAACAAGTGAATTGACTTGGATAGTGATAATTAATGAAAGAGAGGGCTAATGTCTTACTGATTATTATATTTTCTAATTTTATTACTAATTTTAATATAATTTTACATGTATTTTGAATTTGAGGGGGCTACAACCCCTCCTGACTTCAACCTAACTCCTTCGCTGACTCTAGCCCACATGAATATTCGCTAAATTTACAGGGTTGAATGACACGAACTTGAGAATCGAACTTGTAACCACATGTGTCAACCTCATCTCTTATCGCTCAATTCACTCTTTGCTTGGTCCAAGTTACTCACTCTGGCCTTCATGAACTAATACTCAAGAAATTTATATGAGCAGTCAGTCTGAAAGTGATATAAGATCCATAATGAACATTTTCTTAAAGATTCGAGTTATTGAGATCAACTGGTTTATGACATGGTCTCATAACTGGTTTGACCAAGTACAGTTGTATGTTCGAATCTGCACGATCCAAATATTAATAATTTATCTAAGCACAAGGTATGATGGACCTGTACAAACTTCAACCCTGTGAGTTTATCTAAGCACAAGCTATTATGAACCTGTCCATAGTTAACTTTTTTCCAACAACTCGATTTTTCGAGACAAACTAATTTATCACGGAACATATACAACCTTTACTACGACGACGAAGAATCAAATTATCACTATATTTATTCCTTTTTCTACTTCTTCTTTCAAGTGCAGGATAACCCCAAGGGGTTGCAGGATTTTTTCCCCTACCAATTGGAGCCCTCCCTCCACCACCCCCTGGGGATGGTCTATAGAGTTCATAACTACTCCTTTTACTACAGGACGCTTGCCTAACCAACATTTAGATCTAGCTCTACCCAAACTTTTCTGGTTCACCCTAACATTCCCTACTTTTCCGACTACTTGCAGAGATAAAACTTGAGATCACAACCAAATAATACATGTATGGCTTTGAAACTCAGAACCAACCTTGCTGGTTTCGCTTTTGTCGATTCTTATCACTATGCATGAAACTGCAGCACATGCCCACAAAGTTTCTTCATATATGAAATATTAACAAAAAAATTGAAGGGATATTTTCATATATGAAATATTAACAAAAAATTTGAAGGAAAAAATATCCAAGTACTAAACGTTTATCCAAAAACTGTCTCAAAAGCGCCATCCACTACCGATCATGTCAGAGACCAAATCTCAAAACATATTAGGTTTCTTTTTCCGTATTAAAGTACATCTGTTTTTTTGACAGACCAATTTGATATAAGGTTGTACATTCTCATTATGTCTTCTCTCTCTTGTATGTAATTTTTTTTTTTTTTACAATAACTTGTATGAACAACTGATCTATATACACTCTTAAGTTAAGACAACGAACTAAATGAAATTAAATAAAGTATTCATCTTGTTAGTATTCAAAGACAACGTTCACTTCAATAAGAAGTACTATAATAATCGTTATGTTACATCGATTTGAGTTTGACGCTGTACACGATTATATATGTTAGAGATAGATTAAGAATAATCTTATATTTCCTTGTCCCTCTAGTAATATAAGATTATTCCTAATCTATCTCTAACCTATATCACCCTTCCATTGGCCTTTGCCGCGAATTGGTTTCCCCAAGACAGCACGGGTACTTACACAGAAGATCGATGGAAATGGAAAAAGGAACACATCTATATGAATATCAGGTTCCATGTTGATGCAAGTCCTGTTCTCAGTTTCCCAAACATCGAAAGTTATCATACGTTGCCTGCCATTGTTTCAAATCCCCATATGAATGTTGGGTGTGATGTACTGACAAGGGTTGGATAATACTATTTTATATCCAAACCCTATTTTGTAAAAAGGGTTTAGAAAGGTCACCTTAAATTTGTGTGTTTTATCTTGTCCCTACAGGGAGCTGCATGCACGTATGGTCTGATAGCTAGTAAGATGATCCATCCATCGGCGCGACATGAGTTTGCAGAGTTTGCAGGGATTCAGGATGTTGGTCTCTGATCGAAGGTAAGCTTACCAGACATATATATCAAACCAAGGTGCCTAGGAAATTGGGCTTCTGTTGTGTTACGAGCAACCGCAACTGACAACTTGAGATTCCAAATATAAGTTGTTTATATATATCCTTTGGTATATATATGTATATATTAGTTTTCATTCTAACACCTTAAAAAATATGTATGGCCTTCTTCCAAAAATTATAATTGTTCTGCAATTCATAAGCAAGATGATCAGCGACAACACGGCAAGGTACAAAAAGAGGGATTTTTTTCTAGCGACTAAATTGTCTCAACTTTATTTAAATGTGTCTACACGTGAATAATGAAATAACGATTTACAATACTTACTTATTGGAGTTGAAATTAGTAATAACTTGATTAACATTTACAAACACGAAAATTAGTTTACGAGTCCAAACTCAATAAACTCACAAGATTCTTAAACTATTGAAAGTATTAAGATAAACTATTGAATTTTGTAGACTTAGGGGTCGTTTGGAGAACAAGATTCTTAAACTATTGAAAATATTAAGATAAGCTATTGAATTTTATAGACTTACTCTAATTTTTTATTAAGGATAAACATATTATTTAATATAAAAAATTTATTTTTATTTTCATTGAATATTAACAATCACAGTTACCAAATAATAAACATTTTAAAATCTATTTTCAACCATTCGAAGAGTTAGAATCTTTAGATTATTGACAATCTATAAATATCAAATCTCTCATAATTAGAGAGATTTTACATCTTGATTTTGGAGATTTCCTCCCTCCTACTATATCTTTTCTTTATTCCATTTATTCCACTAAATACCCTTATCAATAAATAATCAATATTTTTCGAGCCAATCTATTTATTTTGGTTAAGGATAAACATGTCATTTAATAAAAAAATAATTTTTTTATTGGATATCAACAATCGTAATTATCAAATAATGAACATGTTCGTATCTTTTTTCAACAATTCAAAGAGTTAAAATCTGTAAATTGTCTAGAATTTATAGATTTAGACTCCAGTTCTCTAAACAAGCCCTTAGTTAAATGTGTTTGTTGATGTTGAATTGAACAACTAGCTTCATCTAATAATGTCTAGAGAATGTCACCTTATTTGATCGACATGTTCTCAAAATTTAACTACTTGCGTAATTCTTAGACTATGATTTGGCATCTACACGTAAGTTTAAGAGCACATTTTTGAATCATATGAGTCAACTTAGGAAGAAAAAAAAAAGAAAATTATATAAAAATAGCGATTAATGCCGTAGAGTATAGATCAAATTTCTAATTCCCTCTCCACCCGCAAGTCCATGACGCAATCCACAACAAACTACAAGACTTTTTTTACAGCTTCCTCCCACCAAAGTAGGCAAAATTATAAAACACGGCAAAATTTTCCACGCATCCCAGGCAGATCTAAAAAGGGCATCCTACTTCAACAACACCTGGTGGCAAATGCAGAATCAGATCTCAAGCTTGTGCATCACATCGAACGACCCAGTACCCATCTTCACCGGCAGCCCGACGCAGAGCCTAGCAGACGGCGCTTCCAGATTATCGGTCTCCCCGTGCAACGCAGCCTGGACGATGAACTTCGAAGCAGTCTCAAAGGACATCTTGGTAAACGGCGATATCGACTGGGCAATGCCACCGAGGCGGTTCATGGGGCGGTAGGTGCCGGAGTGAGTCATGTAGTCGGCAATGAGAGATAGGTGGCGGTTGCTGACAGAAATGCCGTAGGAGCCGAAGACGTGATTGATCTCCCTGATTATCGTCTCCCTCGCGGCTTCTACACCGTACGTTGTCAGCATGGCGTAGATGTTGTTGGTGTATATGTACCTTACGTCGAGATCCTTCTGCATCTTCCAGAATGAGTTGAGGTCCACTCCCATTGATTGAAGCGCGGGCAGTTTCTTCTTCTCCTCGGGCTTGATCTTGATTCTGTTCTTTGGATCTTCACCATAATAGATCACTTGACTGTCTTTGCAGTCGGTCACACGACACTGCTCGATCTTCCCGGGGTTCTGAATATAAACCTTCTTGGAAGCCTTTTGAGCAATCTAGACGACATTAAAGGCAAACGGGATGAGCATTATATATTCAATGTAGTTTAACTTTAATACTGAAACAAACAACTGAGGAAAACAATGACACTTATAGACCAACCTCAGCAAGAAGAACATGAGGTTCACTGGTGAACTTAAAGTGGACCTCAAAGTCGAATTCGTTGGCTGCCACGAATATAGCTCTATCAAAATCTTTTCTGGAAACCATTCTCCTGAGCTTCTTCCGTTTGCGTTCTTTCTTATCTCCTACTTTTGCTGGAGAGTCGCTTACGATTCGTGATTTACTTTTGGCAGGGCGCAGGGTACTTCCAGAATTCACAGTGTCAACCATGTCATCAGCAGTCCCGGTCTCAGCACCATCAGCATCGGTTTGAATTTCGCTTTCGGTTTCACTTTCGTTGTCTGATCCACCTTCGGTGACCACGGAGCCCTCACCATGGCCATGGCCTTGATCTTCATCATCTTCATACTCCATTTCATCAGTCCCTTGAAGTTTACTTTTTCTGGCATCTGAACCAAAATCCTCGGTCCCTTCACCATCACCGTCACCATCATCATCACCATCATCTACGATGGGCGACTTGCTGGTGGTACTAACTTCTTCTTCATCCATATCGCCTGAAGACTTTGAATTTGCCCCCTTGAAATTTGAGATGCCGCTAATTTTGGACAGCAGGACCAGATGATTCTGTATAGAATCCTCCAATTCCCTAACGAAAACTACTTCTAGCGTTTCTTCCCAATGTTCAAAGTTCACTTTTGCATGTATTGGGTAATGAGCCGGGCGGTGAAGCTGCATTTTGAGCTTGTAGATTCTGCAAGCTTGTCCATCTTGAATGGCAAATGGGATTACAGAGACCTTCATACTCTTCACTATATCTGCCACTGTAACCTTTTTCAATTTATCAGCAAGGCGATCTGCCACCTCTCTGCAAGCGAAAATTATATCGATTATATAAAACATCCGAGATGTTGACAAGAAATATTTCCATAGACAAATGACCCTTGCAAAACTTTCAAAGACTATCTAACACCGAATGTTGCCTCACATAAGTTTAGAGAACGTGCTGCCAGTTGCCTGAAGATTTGGCTTTTGACATTATGGATGTAGCAGACCTAAAATCAAAATTTCACTAGCAGAGACACGGAGCACGAGCTCCCACAACAGCCTAGTTATTCTGCTAACTTGAAAATTCGTTAGTATATACTAACTAATATCCAAAATATATGAACTAATATCCAAGTCTGTTGAGTATCTAGATAACACATACTAGTATTCAAAACATCACAAACTAGTATCCAAATAGCAGATACCAACTAATATCCACAATCAACCAACTAGTATTCAATATGGATACTCTTATGTGTTATCTGGATACTCTTAAGTGTTATCGGGATACTAATTATGTGTTATATGGATACTATTCTGTGTTGTCTAGATATTAGTTTGTGAATTTGGGATAATAGTTGATTCATGGTGGATATCAGTTAGCAAACTTTGAATACTAGTCTGTGCTCTCTAGATACTTTAGTACTTGGATACTAGTTCATGTATTTTGGATATCAGTTAGTATCTGCTAACGAATTTTCAAGTTAGCATATTAACTTTTCCCGTAAGAAAACTGTGATACACCCTGGCGCATTTCACCTATCCCACTACACCAACCTCTATATACAAAAGTAAAAATGTAAGAGATTATCAAAAATAAAAGTACTACATACCAAGACAAATTAACTAGATGAAACTCCACAAGCACCCAACTTTAACTATCGACAACATAGGAGTCAAACCATAAAACAGTTCTTGACAGAGAATAGCATCAACAGCTCGAAACTTACTTAGTCCTGCCCACTTTCAAGGGGCAAGTCATAATTGGAGTCTTAATGTCACTTGATGCAGTCATTAAGATCTCCTGAAGACGTGGAATCCCCAGAGTGACATTTGCTTCACCTCGGCCAGCCAAATGGAAAGTATTCAACCTGATAATTCAAACAGGATAAGATAAATGAAAGAATGAAGCATTGCGACAAAGTCAATGACCAGGTACATCATAGCCAATAAGTTTCCTCGAAATGGATGTTCAAAGAGAGAGGTATTCATAATGACATACACATTAACAATCAAAAGCAAAAGGATCTTCCAAATTTGAAAGAGATAATTTAGCTACGTGAGGAGACTACCAACTACCCTTCTTGCTTACATCATCAAATTCATACACAAGTATACCACGAACTCAGATAATTTTGTTTTCTATCCTAAAAATTTCACATCATTTGTCACTTTTAACAATGCCAGTATACAGGAGTCTGTCAGCTGTTGTCATTGCAGCATACAGACTCTGAAACTACAGACATAAAAACCAGGAAAATTAGAAAGAACACGAAGCAGACAACCACAAGGATAAACAGGATGCACCAATGGTTTGTGAATGTTTTATAGAACAGTAGAGCCAAATTTGAAATGAACAGCAAAATCAAAATAAAAAGGTATGTTTTCAATTGAATAAAGAGTTAAATTCTCCATTCTATCAGAACCAGAACATTCCTGTATTTTCATAATAAATTTTCCTCATGCTCAGAAAATGCGCATGACAAAGCTTGCAAGTGCACCGGGACAATCTTTTAAACTCGCTGAAACACAAACGAGAAAAGAACTCTTACGTCATCTGTGTCGATGGTTCTCCAACGGACTGAGCAGCAAGCACACCAACAGGTTCACCTGGTTGTGCAAGACTTAGGAGAAATTTCTGCTTCATCAACTCATGAATATCTGTTTGCTTTACCAGATTTGAAGAAATTCGATCCATCAAGAAGGAATCGTCCAGAAAACTGTCTGCCTTATCTTTCAGAGATTTGGGCAACTCAGAAATGTAGCTGTTGAAAAGGTCTGGCTGCCGACCACTTTTTTGGAGAATCAAGTCCTGATTCTGGCAAGGAAATATGACAAACAGAGAGTTTCAAAATATGAGTAGGACAAATAACATTCTCTTAGTACATAATTCACGCCATCAAGAAAGGCAGTTATTACCTTCGCCAATACATCAAATTTGGCAAGAAAGCTGGTTTTATGGACATCAACTCCATCCTCCCCGTATTGGAATTGAACGATCGATCCGTCAGCGTCACGAACTGTATGATCATAATTTATCTTCAGGCACTCAAGATTTTTAATCAGGCATCTTTGCAGATACCCACTCCTTGATGTTTTTACTGCTGTATCAACCAACCTACAAAAATCAGAACAATTAAATGTCACATAAATTACCCAGTCTAGGACATATATGGCAATGCTATTCTGAACTAGTAGCTGTCCCTAGACCCTAAAACCACAAACAACATAAACATCAAGAAAGTAGACAACCGGAGAAATGATGTAGAACATAAAGCATCCCAACATTGAAGTTGAATTACCCTTCTCTACCAGCCATGCAATGAAAATAATACTCTTGTGGACGGAGACCGGTTAGAAAACGATCAATAATGAATCCACCAGCTCGAGCTGCCCAATCCCATGGATGAAAACTGGGTAATGTCTTTCCAGAGACCATCCGAGGCACTCTTTTCCCCTCCAATTCTTGTTGGCCCAGAAAAGATGAAATCTGTTGGAAATTTACCTGCACAACATGAAACAATGCAAACAAAGAACAGTGGTTGATTATTATTGCTACGAAAAAAGAAGTATGCAATTCACCAACACGCGTAGGCAATTTGCAGTCTCAATAACACAAGGACATAAGCCATCTTTACAAAAGAGCGTCGCAAATGTTTTTATCACTGCAATACCATCATGCTTCTAAAATATGAAGTTGTCATCACAAGGTGCCTGAAACTTACCTTGCTGCCTTTAGCTCCTGAAGTTGTCATCAGATATATACAATTATACACGGAGGGTTTAAGTACCGCCTCAGATAACAGCTCATTTATAACCCCTCCGCTTGTTTTGGAATTAAGTTCACTTCTCATCTGGTTATCCAAGTATGTCACTGCAGATTCCCCTTCACTTCGCATAGTCTTTTCAATATTGAATTGCAAGTCCACTGGATCTGAAACAGAAAAACCAACAGATCCGCATGTTTAACAGCATATCAGATGAACTTCCTTGCAAGAGACGGGTCAGTTTAGACAGACTGAAGATATTTCTTAGTCATGCACCTTAACAATTTTCAGTTGGTACGATCCAGTAAAGCAAGAGCAAGAAAAGGTGTGGTGGCTGAAAGCGAACATACCTATTCTTAGTTTCTCATCTTTGATTCCAATGAAATGACGATGAACTAGTTCAGCATCCTTTTCACATCCTTCAAGTTGTTTCTTCCTTTCATCATCTTTGGCTTTCAATATCAACAGATCATCAACCCCACATGTGAAACCATGCATCTGAGTCATTGAATACAAAAGAAAAGGATAGTTTTGATGTGGGAAAAGGTTCGATAATTTGAATGAAACTGCAACAGTTTATGCCTGCTTCTGTACCTGCAGGTAAGCAGTAAACAACCGACTTAGAACAGAGAGAAGAGTGCCTGCAGCATTTGATCCAAAGAGTTCCTGAACTGTATGCACCAAGCCATATTCACCAAACTGAGCTTTGTCGATCACACCACGAACCAATTCATTTTTTGATATCAACATCTTCTCCTCATCGGGCTTTATCCTAAACGAAACTCCTTTATTGCCAGTCCCAGAAATCCTATCATGTTTGCTAGCTCTGCCCTTAAAGAAGTCACTAGATATCTTCGCATCCTTCTCAACCGTGATAGGAGAATGGCCCTTCGTTATTTGGTTTAGAACAGCAGTAATGACCTACACAGGAGAAAATGGTCACTGCTGAAAAATCACCCCAAGAGTAGGATACCAAATGATATATAAGTAGAAATAAACATGATTTTCACTATCGAACTCCATAAGCATTATATTGCGTAAGGGCACTAAACAGAACTATATCAGCTTAGACAAAATAAATTAAGCAATAATATCAACGTCCAATGATTTTCTTGGGAATATAATCAAATACTAACCTGTTTCCCAGTCCAGAGAGGGAGAGGTTTGAGAATTGCAGGTTGGCAAATCTGAAGGTCGTCTTCAGAACAAGCCAACAACACTTTCTGGCTAGATTTGCCATAGAATGAAGTCCTAGAAGAAGGGAAGACACCAGAACAGCATAATAATTGGATAAACACTTCTTGACTCAAATAAGTATCCCTCTTCGTAAGCAATACAGAACTAACAATATGATCCTGTAAAATTAAGGAAACATGTGGCGAAGTTATATGAAGGTTATATGTGGTAACTTTACCATAGAAAAGATGGAATCGCACCACATAACAAACCTGGATCAGGCTACGAAGGGGCTCGCCATTTGAAGGCTTCACATATTGATTGTTAGCATTGACGATGTTGTACCCCTCAGCACGGGAGATCTCATCTTGCGGGAAATGAACATTCATTTCATCACCATCAAAGTCGGCATTGTATGTGCTGGAGTGAAGACCAAACAATTCATAGCAGCAAGATTTCCGACTTAGAACATGCTTCACAAAATTGAGCACTAAAATGCATGAAGTATGATGACAAACAATACGGACCTGCAATTTGCATAGTGCATGCGAAGTGTCTTCTCGCCCTTTAGAACTCGGACAACATGTGCCATTATGCTAGGCTTGTGTAGTGTAGGCTGTCATGCAACATAAGTAATGTAAAACAATGAGACTGTACTTAGATAGCTGGAAAAATAAGATCTAAGGAACGGACTGCACAAGGCACTTAAAAGAGGAGAGCAAAGGAAGAAATTTTCACAAAGTTCCCACCAAAATGCAACTCTTACTTTGATTTTTCAGAAGCTCCTGCACTAAATAGTTTTAAGAAATAAACACTTCCGTACCAATAACAAGGTGCAAGGAGAAGGACCATCATTCAGAAGAGTCTCAACTAAACCAAGTAATGGATTCAACATGCACCACTGTGGAAGTTTAGATGACTAAATACCACATCATAAAATGATAAATCAACAACATACCTGCCGATTACAGAGCACGATGTCCCCATCTTCTAAGTGGCGATATACAATCATTCCTTCACGCAGCTTCCTTGCTACTGAAATGCGATCCCTCCTCTTACTAGCTTGCAGTATACTATGGGATTGATCAAAATAATGAGTAGCTCCTGGATGTGTATTAGGTCCATTTATTACAGCCTTCCTCAATTTGGCAATGTTCCATGGAGTCACTCGCTGAAAGGACATCAAAATTGACATAATAAGAAATGCAATACCATAATAAAATACTCGGAAAAAAATCCTAGCTTCCCATCATGACCAACAACATATTCAATTAACCCAAAGATTTAATCCACGAGTGTGGTAGAAAACCTACTCAGTCAAAAGGTACATCCCACAGATAGGATGAGCATGCACCAGTCACAGACAGAAAATTATTGCACTGTCAAAAATCATGATTAGAATCTGACATTTTGTACAGTTTTTTAATGTGCATTCTGAAATTCCGAGACCTAGGCTCCAAGAGGTCAAGTGTTCTGACAACCTTAACTATTCCCCAAGGTTATGAATGAGGAAAAAAGGTCCCAACAAGAAACATAATACATTCTTATCAATAGTCGAATTTAATAGTCATATTGAAAGGGGTATTGGTGTTTTAGCATAATATGCTGGTCGAAGATTTGGAATGCTTCCATAATAATTTTATCTAAAATCAACAGCATATTTCAATAGTGCACATATTTGCAAGAAATAGAAATAAAATAAACATGTACTTTCTTAAAGATATGAATTTAATCACAAATACATCCATTATAATTTCCTCAATTTCTAACTCTTGTACTAATTAAGCAACCATATAATAGTTACCACATTACACAGAACAAAAACATGTTAAAATAACAAGAGCTAACTGGATTCATTCAGACAAGAAGCAGCCATCCGACCACACATAAATCTACTGCAAACTGAACATCCAAAATCTGGACGTAAAAAAAACTGCAAGCTGAAGATTAGATAATGGAGTAAGACCCCACCTCAGGATAAGTCAACTTGATAGCAAAGACAGGAGGAATTCCTATTTCATTAACTCCTAGGTAGGGGTCAGGGGATATAACTGAACGACATGCATGATTAACCCTCTTCCCCATCATTTTCTGGCGAAACAAGCCCTCTTTTTTCTCAAGTATCTGGCATCCTCCAGCCGCTATATCCTTTTGACCACCTACAGAAAGGACCAGAAACATCACAGGAACATGAGCACACATAGTGATCATAGAAGATAGCAGAAAGCATTTAACAAACGTATATTTGATGATGCAAGATTTCAAGAGGACACAACCATTCCCGAGTAGAATGAACCATGAAAACCTTAAAGGAGCTTCTACAACCACAGAAGGAAGGCATAGGTAGAATGTTTTAACTACATAAGAGAGGGGAAAGAGAACTCCAATCGACTCAATCTAACCGAGGTCTGACTGTTTGGTCTGGGTGTGTAATGTGATATACACATCGAAGTGAGGGTATAAAAACTACTTTCAGATATAGGCAAAGCGACGACACTTCACTGCAGTTCATGGTCTTCGACCCAAAAGCAATCCTGTTTCCAAATGTTTGTACCTCTACTTCCTTCTGGCAATCTCAGAGACATATGTTCTTGAAGCCGCACAATATGGTTTAATAAAATTAAAATTCAAAAAATACAAAGCACAAGTTATACAGCACAAGTTACAACCATCAAGGACTGTGCAAGCAGCTCACAAGAGTTATTGAAGGCTCCAAGATACATGTAATTGAAAGTATGTTGATGCTCAAACTAGAAAAGAAAAAGAAAACGACATCATTACAAAAAGAAGCTGACACACCATGCAGGATGCTAGAAGAATACCAGATTCAATTCACTACAGTTATTGCACAGATACAAAAATCATTGCAGCTGATTACACAAATGCATGACAAAGATATTGGAAACCAGCACATATAACATGCACCTACTAATTCCAAAAAAGAGATTAAATTGCCAAACTTATAACAGCAAGAACAGTAGTAGACTAATCACTATTCCTAATTTCCAGTATAGAGCTTCAAGTACAAAGAGCTGTCACATTAAACAATTTAATGATGGCGAATGAGAGTTTTACATGCGTTAAATCTGAAGGAAAGACCAAACAAGCACAAAACATCATGTCAAAAGTGAAGCCAAAACTAGAGGCAGAAATGAACGAATAACCAGAGATAAATCACCTGCTGCAGTTTTGTTATCGTACAAGACATTTACAGATTGTTGTAGTTCTAACCAACGTCGAATCACTTTTGTACTCTCTTTATTAGCATGAACATTGGCCAAATTTAAATTGGCCTGCAGCACTTTGCCTAACAGAACGGTACGAGGATGATCCATGACCTGTACAAGAGATCAAATATCAAAATGTTTATGTCCAGGTGCTGTTGAGAGCTTGACTGCCCCTGATTCCATACAAATTGTACAAAATAAGGGTAATGGTTCCACGATTGCCACAATTCTGACAGAAGGATACCAAGAAATAAGAAAAAGAAGAGAAGAAAAAGGAAGGTAATTCAGAGAGACAGGCAGTGGCAGAAACAAAAACTAAAAAACATTAACTTGGTAGATTAACATCGACATTAAATATCCAGATACAACAAAGGCACTTTCCAACACAAATACATTCCTGACATCCAGACAGAATGATTGCGTGTCAATATTATACAAATTGGTGCGATGACAGTGAAAATCAAGGTAAGGGCCGATCTGCATGAAGCCAAGGTAACAGAGACCTGCCCTGAACTTCGATAATATATGTTTTCGCAAACTTGTGCATGTTAATTAACTCAATTCCTAATTGTTTAATACAGCAACACCAAACATACTCGTCCATTGTAATATCAACTAGAACAACGAAGAAGCTAGCCTCCAAAAAGCTACAAACATATTCCAGCACAATTTATTCAGAAGTTGTAGAAATAGACATTTCAGACTTACTGAATCCCCACCCTTGGTAGGAGGACGGAACTTGATTGGAGGTACTAAAACGACTTCCAGAAGAAACATAGAAGGACCAGCTTTCTTCCCTCTCAATATTTGCTGCTGAATATTACTCATTATCGAGCAGAACCTAGACTCGTTCTCCCACAGAAGTTCCAAAATTGCTTTCACCTGTAATAAGGTGCAAGATATGAAACAGATTTTATCAGAACTCCTACACCGATAAACTATTAAAGACAACAACAAAAGCGACCAGTGTACCTCTGATGGTACAAGCTCGCAGGATGCTGCATCTTTTTGCCTAGTGAAAGAGAGCGGTGCTTGATCAGCATTTATTATATGTTGTTTTTTGGTGGTTCTGCCACTTGCAGCATTCTCAATTGGATCTTCTACATCCTCAGTATCATCAACCTCACCATCCAATTGCCTTATCAGTCGCCGGCCTCTTATTATATTTCCTCTGATAGCAGCATCTGACATCCCAGTCTGTAGAAACAAACCCAGAATTAGATAGTGAGCCATATAAAAAAAATATTTATGAATACAGTCATATACACACAACGCTGAAGCATGAAAATAAAAGCTTAGACACACTATTAGCTTCCAAGATGCTTCTTGAAGTCAAATGTTGGTGTTGCTTCCGGTGAAACCAAGTAACAAGCAAGAAAATGAGAGGAGAATCCATTTGGATTCAAGAGATTGAGCATGGTTCATCATACCCATTGCAGTAAGAAAAGCTCAAACAACATGACGCTTAACAAAATAGAGGGAATAGAAAGGAGATGAAATCAAATGATTACTGGAAATTTCCTTCACGTAAAGCACGTTAATTGAAATGAGGATCTTGCTGATACATCGTACAACGTCAGAGCTTGCCTAGGGACAATGAACTGATTTTATAGTTAAGAATCGATGGCCTTAGCATCCAGTGAAAACAGATATTAAACTGTATTAAATTAGATAAAAATTGTAGGAGTTTATCAGTAAACTAGCAATTAAAAATACCATTCTCTGTTCCATGCTTCCCGTGCCAGGGAAATGAAAATTTTCAATGGTGCAGAAAGCACCTGAGCAGAATGCTAATGACAGAATAATTCGAACTAAGCTGAACCTGAGACTGACAAAAAGTCAATTGCAACAATAAATTAATGGCATCAATGTATTTTTCCTTCATTAAACACTATAATGTTTTTATAGTTTTGTGGGATCAATGGAAGTACTGTTTGAACTATTCCCAGAGCAATCATTCTGTTCAGTAAATATGTGAAGACATAGTTGTACACTACCGTGTTTGAACGCCTACGTAATAGTTACCGAACCCAGCACTTCAAATTATGTATGTAATGAGAAAGTACTAATCCCAGTATGATATAGAAACAAATCACACCAACCAATAGTTTGAAGGAAACTTCCGCAAAATATCTAACAAGTACAAAAACAGTATATCTGCTCTAGTTTTTGGATTATGACAAAACTAAGTTAGACCTCTCAAATTGAAGACCTTAGGTACTATTTCAACTCACAATTGGCGAATCGTAACTTCAATAAATAAATAAATGATCTTCTGTGTCATTTTTTACTTGATTGATAGGACCATACAGTTTCTCAAATGGATCTTAGCATAGTTTTTAATTTTAGTGAACCAATGAACAGAATAAAGACAAATATTAGCATATGTGGATGTTCAACATGATGTAAAATCTTGAATATTTGCACGAAACTGATTAGGAGCTATACCATTCTAAACCATCCATAGTTAGGCTTGGAAATCTTAGGATTCGATGCACCACAGTTCTGGCATTTCCGGATTGGTTTCCTCATAAAGTTATTCAAGATCAACATAGCCTCCCCAAGCTGAAGGGAGGTCCATCCTTGCTGCTCCAAATCATTATCATTTTGGTCTTGGGTTCCTGAATAAATTGTAGAGGCAGATCCATGGCTTGCTTCACTTTCATCCGCAGATAAAGGCTCATCTGTTGAGACTGAATCTAATCTCCTAGCCCCGACAATATCTCCTTTTGCAATGAGTTTCAACTGACAAACACACTTCTCAACCTAGATTTAAGAAGAAACAAAATATAACAAGTACAAAGAGACACATAAGAAACAATATGATCCGAGGGGAAAAGAGAAGTATACACGTGAAGCAGTGGTTGATAAATATGAAACAGCTGAAATAAATGCATCAGTTTCAAATACGAGCCAAAAGTACCTGTTGATGCGCTGCTCTGAAGTGATGACAAAAGAAACAGGTTTTCTGCAAGATTTTGTGCAGAAAAGGAAACAGCAGAGGATTATGGACTGGAGAAACTAGCTCAATATGGCCACAGTGTCCTGGGCAGTTATCTTGTCTCTGGCTACAGGTCGGACACCTGCATTACAATTGAAGAAAATTAGCCTTGATTGAGCAGCCTTACCAACAACCCATATAAGCCTTCCCTATTCCACTGGAAAATCTTTTGTTTTAGAACCATGCTAATGTGCAAAGCTGCAAGCTACGACCATTCATTTCTCTGAGGGCTTAACCATTACAACTAGATACACTTCTAGTAAGCAGGATGCATACACCAATTGGATTCCACAGTCGGAAATAACAACCCCGTCTTGTTCAAAGACCCAGACACAACAGATTAAAATGCTTAAAGATGAAAGTCAAGTAAAAATTGCAGGGCTTACTTGTCTTGACCATAATCAAGAGGACCTAGAGAAGGGTCGTATAGACCGCCAGGTGCAGGACGGGTAAGAGCTGAGCCAGGGTCACCAGTAAGCAACTGAGGGTTTGCTATCCTAACAACACTCTGCTTCCGAACCTCGTCAGCCGATAACACGCTGAATGTTACCGAGCCAATCGACTTGGTCACAACCTGCCGCACAAAAGAAACAACTACTGAGCTCAAAAATAGCAATGGAAGCTTCATCAAGTGAAGCAAGCAGTGCCGTTGGAGTTGGTTCATCGCCGACAAGTAGACGATACGAAATTCTTAAAAACAGTTCCCAATACTCGTCGGTATATTTACTCCGGGGATAGAGATAAACAGAGACGGCGTACCTCCGCGGCGGCGGCCATGAGGTTGGAGCGGCGGAGGAGAAGACAAAGTGTAGAGAACGAGGGCGAGCTCCGTAAAGCAGCAAATAGGTTGTCCCAGCGTGGTTGAAGAAGCAGTAGACGGAGGAAGAGGCTTGAAGAAGAAGGGAGACGCGGCGAGGTTCTGCAGAGGCCGCCCTGTTCGCGGTTCACCTCTGTTTAGTGTTCGATTGTATCGAGTTTGCGAGGGTTTTTCGTTTTTTACTCGCTCTCTAAACCCCTTTGTCCGTCTTCTGGTTCTTTGCTTCTTCCGTTTTGTTTTTCGCTTTTTTTGACCGAATACGCTGGTGATGCAGTTTGGGCGTTGGAGCGATAATTGGGCCTGGGCCTGGTTTTTATGCGACTATAGATAGGTTGCATTGGCTTTCTTGCATGGCACGAAACACATCATACTTCGAGAATCACAAAGTTGATATGCCAATTAATTAGCCACTCCAAATCCCATAACAACCTTGTGAGAGCTTGCAAAGTGTATTTTTGGTCAGCTCAGAGTGGTTAGACTGCTCTTTCAGCTTAGTGAACCAGCGACAGTTAGAGAGAGGTGTGCAACGATTTAGTCCATCGTCCATAGTGAATTACACCGTATTGAATATATTGATGGTCTCATGATATTTAAGAATGCACGTGCTCAAGTATGTCACATTTATAATTTTATAGAAAAATTATGTATCATAAATTGCTTAGATACTAATTACTATTAAATAACATGATATGAACTATTAAATATTATGAATTAAATGATATACTATGTGAGCTCGAGCCGATCTCACGAGCTAATTGATGAAGCGAGCTCGAGTTAAGTTCGAGTCAAACACAAGCCAATGTTTTCGTAAACAAGCATATCGCGAACTCGACTGATTTATTAACAAGCCGAACTCAAATTAGATTAAAACTCGTCTCATTTCATTTGCAGCCTAGTTGAAACTAATCAGGTAACCCAATTGTTTTGATTCACAAGTGAATACATTGATGCTCTTGTGATACACCCAGTCCAATTCAAGAATCTGCTTTAAAAGCTTACAAATGTAAGTGCAGCAGCTCAAGGGAAATTAAGGCTAAAAAAGGGCAGAATGATGTTTGCCTAAATTGAGCACGGATACATACATTCTGGACTTTAAAATCTCAGAGATACAATCTACAGCAATTTGCCCTATTTCACTGCCCAATAATCCATCGACCCAGCCCTTTTTTTTTTTTTTTTGTGTTCTCTTCTTTAGGTTCTATTGTATATGTTGCTAACTAACCAGCAGAGCACCACAACAAAACGATTCACAGTTCTCAAAGTAGAAAAACTCGAAACATACCCTAGTTTAGAACCATAAAACAGTAAAGTCCAGGGGGCACTCAACAGATTGGCTGAGTTCAGTGCCCGTTACGTTCTGCAGCAGCATCCGATGAAAGCTCTCCTCCCGCTTGATTCTGGGGCCTCGTTTTCCGAGCAACTCTGGCAGGGGTAGAACGCTCAGACTGAGAGAATCGAATCAAGACCTGCATCAATACTGTGATGATGGCCAGACAAGCTGCAGATATGGCAATACCCTTCCAGGAGGATAGAAGGGAGGACCATTGAAGGAACTTCAAGGTTCCAAAGACGAGTAAAGATGCCCATGAAGTGACAACCTGACATACACACGCAATGATGAAACCACATGTGAGGGAAGTAGGGCAGGGAGACAAAACAATGATGATTCATCAGAAGCACCAACACTTTTGATCTTGGATACGGGAAGAAGTAAACTAGTTTGATGAATCCATTTAAATAGAGTATTCGTCATCTCACCACAAGAGACTTGATAGGTCGGCCCATATTTACTAAGTCTTGGTCTGTGAATGTACCATCAGCATCGTGCTTGTCTAGCAGTGCATCCTGGTGTATCCAAAGTTAAAAGCAATAATAAGAATAACCAGATCAATACAGTAGCTACAGGTGATATCAGGACATGGATACTTTTAATGCACATAAACACTGCTATTCTCCCCACTACCCCTTATATCCCTCTTGTCAATATTTATGGGTTGATTCTTTAGGTGCTGAAGGACCACATCATTAAGGTCAACGATCATTAAAGTAACTTACGAGACCTTCGGGTTTTGAGCATGATTTTTTCTCCCCAAGGTAACATTTGGCTTTCGATTAAGCATGCTTTTAGTAATGCCATATCAGAAAATCAAGGACAGTTTGATTGATACACACACCTTGGCCACAAACAAATCCCTGCACCATTGTGCAACAGCATCGTCTGTATCAGGCAGGTCCTTCATGGAGTGCCGCTTCAGATGGCAATGAACCTGAAACAGCAGATAACGGCATATTTTTGTTAACGTCTTCGACCATCATGCTAATTCGCGATAAACAAGTGAAAACATTCGGTTTGGTAGATCTTCTCTACGAGATTAAGTCAACAGTCAAATCATTCCACAGTTCATTACCAACAAATCTCAAGGGAAAAAGATAAACATTTACTTCACATCCTAAGATTCCAAAATTCATGAAATCATTGTTGAAAATCAGCAGTGGTTTTTTCCATTTACAAAATGAAGTCAAATTCATTTTACTTTTCAACACCCAAATTAAGCCATCAATTACATATTGTGCACAACAGAAATTTCATATACAGCCTTTTGCCTTTTAGATTATGGTAACTGAATGAATAAAATTTTGCATCACAAACTTAGGGTTGTGACCAAGAAGTCAGCTGCATTTAAACAACTACTCCCGAACATGTACCAAAACAGAATCATCAATGACACAACAAAAAGACTTGCGCTTACTTACCACAGATGACTGGCCCTTGAACAGTCTGATCATAGTTGGTTGAGGTGAACTTTTTGGGATAGCCACAGTCACATCATAAATGGCTGGCACGAATGTTCGCATATTACTTACTGCAGAAACAAAGCCCTGCAAGCAACATAAATTAAGTACACGGCTAACCCAAATCACAGAGAAGAATACAAATATATCATTACATATCCTGTGTTCTTTTGAGCTTCTCTTTCAGATTAATTAGAGGATATGAAGACAATGTGAAAGGATATGCAAGCGCACCCATGACAGCAAAAATATCAGAAGCGATGTAGAAAATAGAACTCTATTAATCATTCACTACTTTGAAGTTGGAGAGGGGAAAACGCAAGCTAGAAATTGGAGGGCACCACTTATCTCTTCCCCAAATACTTCTAGACTCAAAACTCCATATTAAGGGTGTCATTGCGAAGCAGAAAATGTAATTTTAAACATTACAAAACCACGAAGGAACATAATCACAAATATTGCTTAAAATCAGCTCTCGTGATCAAAACTCACTCAGGTTATGCCTTGGATATGAATCCCCCTCCAAATCAAATAAAACAGCTCAGCCAGATACTGAAAAATTAAGCTTCTATACTTTCTTTCAATTTTATCGTATCCTGAATTTCTGACAGGCAAGCATATCAGAAAGTCAAGCATCAGTTCATACTTGCTTCATGCCAGATTTCAAGCAAATATTTACCACTGGATATATGCCAATTCACGATTGTTCAAGAAATCAATGGTTGTTGAACCCATTTTCTTTAAATCACAAAAGCAAAAAAAGGATTGTGAGTATGACCTTAGTACGAGGAATCAACACATTTCTAGGGACAGGCAATCCAGCTGATGCTGCATACTCCTGTGCAGCTAAGAGCTTTGCCTGTGTAAAACGAGTTCCTTCAACAAAAAGAGCCAGCCAAAAGGGCCGAGGAAAGTCACGTAGCCGCTGGATACCTGACTGCAGGTAGAATGACACAACAATCAGAACAGGATAAAGCTGCACATAAATTGAGATGTAGCAGAGAAATGAGATACAGACACATTTGTCCACTGTTATAAATAATCGAACTTGTTTTTAGGTGAGGAAATAACAATTACGTATTACTATTTAGATCTGTGAGCATTGAAGGCATACTTTTAACGTGCTCTCATCCTTCGCCCAGTTTCGCTCCAGAAATAGGTATTCAGAGAACCACATGGACCAGCCTATGACCTGAGAACAAAAATATAAGCAGTCAGTACGCAGGAAAATGCAAGTGTCTAACATGCAAGCACTAACAGAGAGGGAATATGCGCTGGCAATAACTAAAAATAATTGCAATAGAACTTCAAAATTAAAAAAAAAAAGGTCCCATTCGATTGTCAGGAAAAAAGGGGGTCAAACCATAAATAAGACCAAAATTTGAGCAACAAATAAAAGCACACTCTACACTTGTTCATACTCATTACACCATTATCGCATCGGACTATTTCAGAAGTGTAAACATGAAATTATTAATCACCTAACCAGGAATGTATTTTCTCCCGTCTCAACAATGTAATGTTCCTCTCTGGCTTGAAAAAGGATATAAAATCGTCAACTATTGCCGAGCATGTTATGTTATTTTCCTCACTAAGCTTATATGTCTCCGAATTCACAACAATGTAATGTTCCTCTCTTGCTTGAAAAAGGATATAAAATCGTAAACTATTGCCGAGCATGTTATGTTATTTTCCTCACTAAGCTTATATGTCTCTGAATTCACAAGTTGAAGATCTCTGGCTTGAAAAGGGATATAAAATCGTAAACTATTGTTCAGCATGTTATGTTCTTTTCCCTTACAATGCTCATTTGTCTCCGGATTCACAAGTTGACTTCAGTTCTTTCCAAATCACCCAGTGACAAAGAATTCAGACTGAGGAGTTCATTGTTTACTAAATAATGTCCAACCGAATATGAATTCTAAGTGTCCTGAATCATACCGGGAGGAGTTTAAGTGACTTCTTCATAACAGCTAAGGCACTGCCAAGGCATCCCGACCTCTGTAATCAGGAATAACAGGATGTTAGTTAAATTGTGATGAAGCAAAACATCGTAACAATTCCAGAGCAGAACTTCCTGAATTCAGCTACCCTATTCAATCTAAGTTACTAAGCTATAAGGCCTCACCTGTGCCAAAACCCATCCAACAAGCCAGTCGATGTCACTTCTATGGTTGCACAAGACAAGTGCATGTTCGTTACCTGAAAGTACCACAAAACCAGCAAAGGTGATGATGATAAGCGCAGTTTGCAGTTTGCTATATTTCAGTGACAAACACCTCCGAGCTGGACTAAACAAAAGACACACATGCTAACAACAAAGTCCAATAAGAGATTTGGACTCACCCATTTGGCGGAATGTCTCACTATCAGTGTACAATTCAATCTGCAGACACAACAACACAAATACATTCAGTCTTTCTCTAGCTTAGAGAGCAAAGCCAAAAGACAACCAACCAGATACATGCCAACACTCTGTATCATATTCCTTTACGCTATTCACAGCTTTCTTAGGAAGTTTGAATAACAGACAGAGTATGCAAAGGGAAGGGATGCACAAGAAATTAAAATACTTGGACAGAAGAAACAAAGTACACAGCCTGCAAGGAATCTGCAAATACAAGGAAGAACCCAGTACAGGGTAGCCGCCGATCCAGCATTTCTAGACAACCTTTGACCGCTCATTTGGTTATCACAGGTATACAAGGTTCGTAACAAGGCCAATGTAATCATTTTTAGCAACTATATTTGGCATCAACCACATTTACAACAAGAAAACTGATTGAATGCTAAGCTAATGAAGGATCGGATAATTCACTTATCCAAGGAAATTGAGGGTCAAAGCAGCAGCATCAGTAGCAATCCAATCCCAAATGAATGCCCAATTCCAGGACGACTTAAAAGCAAGCAAAATCCAAAGCTGAGATTTAAATAGTTTGCGGGGAGTAAGGAAGTAAGTGCATACCTTAACCCCTGCCCACCAATCGACGATCCAAACGAGCTCCAGCCATAGTAACTCGGCAACGGCTCTGTTGATGATTCTGTAAGTGCTCTTTGATAGCGGCCGAATGAGAACGAAGCAAACTGCCTGAAGAAACAACACCATTCCCGTTACATTTCCACGGATAGGAAGGGGGGAAAATTAAAAAAAAAAAAAAAAAAAGGAGGGGACGGAGATGGGGAAAAGGAAGATATGGAGCTAGATTCCATATTCGAGCCAACCAAGAAAAAGGTAAGAGAACCCTAAAGAGACAAGTCGAAAGCAAGAATCATTTCGGAACTAATCAACTCTCAATCAACCAAAAGAGAATCAAACTCTCGCCCGGAAATGGAAGTGGGTTACCTGAAAGAGATTGACGGCTAGACCGGAAAAGAAGAAGAGAACCCCCAACGGGACGATGACAGCTGCTGCAATCGCCATGGGCTCTTCCTCCCCGAGAAGAGAAACTACAGCAACAGGCCACACGACCAAGCGAAAGAGCTGAGAGAGAGACCGACAGAGAGAGAGATGAGAAGGGAATTGACTAGAAAGGAAGGGCGGGCAATAAATACTACGGATTCGAGGACGGGTTTCGGGAGATTCGAGGAGATGAGGAACAGTAATGAAATTGATTAATGGGCGGAAAGATTTGGAGGGAAAGGTATGGCGGATTGTGAAGCAGAGCAAATTGGATTGCGTATCAGGAAGGAAGGCCGCATGGACTGTGCTGGTTGAATGGTGGGGAAGGGATAATGGGTGCCCACTAAATAGCTGCAACAACTACAACGACAAACTATTATAATGGCGTTAAGGAAGAGAGTTTTGGGGAAGAAGTATTGCTGTGGGGAAGGAAGGGAAAAAAGACGAAGCAGAGAGTAGTGAGAAGGTGGCCCGCTGCTACTGAGATGCGACTCCGTGGTGGTTCTCTGCCATTGCAGCTCTGGAATTTCCGTCGTCTCTCTCTCCCCTGTAATTTTTTAATTGAATGTGAGAGAAGAACAGTAGAACACGCAAATACCCCGTGTATCATTTATTAGGGCTAATTACAGTTTTACTCCCTGTATTGTATTTCCTTTAACAAATAGTTAAACATACTACCGGATTTACATCAGACGACCTTTATTTGTATTTAACTTTTATGTCGATGATTCTATTCATGTTTTACGTAACTAGCCTTTGATTATTCATATTGTTGAAATTTTCACTTCTTTAGTTTCCCTAACTTGGCTTCGTGAAATTTTAAATGTTACATCATAAGAGAATTGAGAGATTTAAGATTTGAATCGAAATGAGAAAACATCTTACCTTCAGTTCAAAACGAAAACTCAATAATGTAATGCCTACGAAAATATCAAGTCACACTCATATAAATAAATAAAAATATATGTGAAAATAGGTGGTGGGAACTGCCTCGAGTATGATTGACTAACTTAGCCTAAAACAGTTTTTGGGAGTTTTATTATATTGTTAGCAAGACTTTCCCTAGGTGAATTTCATGCATACGTTACATGTGAGTACTCTTGGATGTGCTTGGTAAGCATTTATGGAACGTAATTTACTAATTGTACACTAATTTGAATGAAATTTGTAATTTGAGTGACTACAAATGAATAAGATCATAGCTTTGGAGTGTTTTTAGTGAAATAATATTTTACATGGACTAAATAATGTCACATTTATTGATTATTTATTGCCAATGAACAACATATCAGATTGCCGTGTGGCAGTGCGCAGACTGGCCAGATGGCTTACCCGGCCCGCCCGTCCGGTCGGATTTCCGGACCACAATCTTTGCATAGTTTCCGGGTCATCAATTTACTCCTTTGGGAAGTAATAAAAAAAATTTACTCCTTTGGGATAATTGATAAATGGTAATCAAAGTCACTTTTTATGTATAAATGAATCTCATAGATTTTTGAAAACTTTTTTTGTTGTTGTTCTTGGATTATAAAGGAATTCATTGTCAATTATAAATTTTGAATTTTGTGAAAGTAAGTTTAGTTCTAGCAATTCCAAAAAATTGAAATAGAATTTTCACATGATTTCCACATGTATTTTACTAACGACAATAAAATGACATAATTGTTCTCAGTTATTAGCAAATTCAAAGGTTTAAGTGGAAGGAGCTGTTCTCCGGAATACTTGTCAAAACTGCAAGCAAGATTATTTCCTCATCATAGCAGAGAAGCAATGGAGTCGTAACATAAGCGCACAACTATTTGCTCTGCGAAGGGAAGTCTGGGGTCATTGAGATCTCTTTAGTTTTCTTTCTTTTAAGGGGTCGTTTGCTTCATGGATTTAAAAATGAGGGTTTTGTAATTTAAAAACCCAAGGATTTATCAAGGATTTGAGGCATTATGGATTTGTAACAATCCTTTGTTTGTTGGGATGTTTTTATCATGGATTTAAAGGTGTGGGATTTACTACTTGAAGTCAAAAATTACATTACGGCCCTTTTCTATATGTTTGGCATGTTTATGATATGTACACAAAACAAGGACAAAACTTCAAAATTACCTTACTATCATTTTCTATATGTTTGACATGTTTATGATATGTACACAAAACAAGGACAATACATACTAATAAGCATAATGTTGCCACATGGACATATATTAGAATCGGGAGAACAAAGAATTACACGTTCCATGAAAATGTCAAAGAAAACTAGAACACAAGAAATGATATAAAAAATCTAACTCATGTTTGCACATTAATTGAACGTTTATATTATTCATTTATTGTTAATTATAATGTATAATAGTTAAATTTGAGGGCAACCTTGGAATATTAAAAGTGCATGAGGGTATATGGGTAAAATCTCATCAAGGATTTATGCCATATTCCAAATCCCACATCAACATGTGGGATTTATAAGTCCGTGGGATCCACGGATTTGGTCTCCAAAAAAGGTGCAAGCAAACAACGGATTGTACCTAAATCCTTGATAGTTGGTTTTTTGGTACCAAATCCATGTACCAAATCCTTGAAGCAAACTAAGTTTTTCTGTAGTTGGAGGATTGACAAAGCGGAATGGTCAAGATACTGCTCGCTGCAATTGTGTGTTTTCTGGGGAAAAAATCCCAAGTTACACATGTTTTTAAAAAAAATTCTCAAAATACACACGCTATGAAAATAATTCCCAATCTACGTTAGTTTGGGCCATCACCGCTGTCGACGAAGACAGTGATTGCATCACTGTTGTCGACAAAGACAGTGATTGCATCACTGCAGTACACGGCCGCGGTGAAGGCCTGACCTGCGTCGAAACTTTAAACAAACGTAACTTTGTGCTCGGTTATCCGATCGTAGCGAAATTTTTTTTGATTCCGCATAATTTTTCGAGATCTTGCAAGCCGCAAATTGCCGTAGGCGGTTTGGTCCCGCCTTCGTCTCGAAAATATGTCGTTTGCTACCCCGAACGAGCCTTTTTTCGATTTCGTCAAACTTTGAACTACCATAACTTTGTGCTCCACAATCCGAAAATCATGAATTTTTTTTTATTTCGCATAACTTTTTAAGGACTACAATTTTTATCATAGACATATTTTCGGAATGTACTTGGATTCCTGAAAAGGAAGGTAAAGTTATTCCCAAAACCCCTTATATCGATAAATAATTCATTTTTTGAAAATTCTCTCCTACTAAATATTGTAGTCCTTAAAAAGTTATGCGAAATAAAAAAAAATTCATGATTTTCGGATTGTGGAGCACAAAGTTATGGTCATTCAAAGTTTGACGAAATCGAAAAAGGCTCGTTCGGGGTAGCAAACGACATATTTTCGAGACGAAGGAGGGACCAAACCGCCTACGGCAATTTGCGGCTTGCAAGATCTCGAAAAATTATGCGGAATCAAAAAAAATTTCGCTGCAATCGGATAACCGAGCACAAAGTTATGTTTGTTTAAAGTTTCGATGCAGGTCAGGCCTTCACCGCGGCCGTGTACTGCAGTGATGCAATCACTGTCTTCGTCGACAGCGGTGATGCAATCACTGTCTTCGTCGACAGCGGTGATGCAATCACTGTCTTCGTCGACAACAGTGATGCAATCACTGTCTTCGTCGACAGCGGTGATGGCCCAAACTAACGTAGATTGGGAATTATTTTCATAACTTGTGTATTTTGAGAATTTTTTTTATAAACATGTGTAACTTGGAATTTTTTCCGTTTTCTTGTACCTTTCTAACTTTCTTTTGCTGCCTTGCTATTATTGCTGCAGCTAGAGTCTGGAGACGTGTGTTGCGCAAGCTGGGTGGCGCTTGTACTTTGTAGTTTGTTTCTCTTTTTATTTTCTTTAATTATTAATTAATAAAGTGATTTCACACATATAAAAATAAAAGCTCTAGGCAGGTATTGGGGTCCTGCACTGCATGGTGCCTAAGCGGTGCCTAGATATTTTAAGCAATCATAACAATTTAATATATCACGACATTAAAGAGTAAGAAGGCCCACCGAAGTTAGATACAAACAGGAGAGGAACCGAAGCCGTATATATAACGACGTGATTTTGATTTTTAGCGGTCGACGGTGGGGAATAATAGGACGGAGCATCGGGTCAACAAAGTTGGACACGAGAAGTACTCTAGTATCATACGTTGAATTTCGGAGCAAGGGAGAAATCGTTTCAATTCTGATATGTCTGTTGACCTACTTTATATTCCAAACATTACAAATAAATAAATTTTTGAAAAACATATTCATTTCACTCATAAATGCTACCTTGCGCGTATTGTTTCAGTTCATTGTGTTGTGTGACTGGATTTCAGTGGCATTCGTCACTCGTTGGCATACATTCGCTCAACTTGATACTCTTCATAGAGATTGGATTGTCATTGTCGACTTGCTGTAATTGTAATGTGCTTCCACTTTGTATGTCTTGGAATAAAATTCATCCTTTTTTTTACTTTTTTTTTTAAATGTAGTTCTTTCACTTGTCACTTGTGTAGAATGGTGGTCGACCATAATGAACTCATTTCCTTTCATGCACAAAAATTTGTATTTAAGTTAAACGAATAAGTTAGGCAGTGGTATAATTGGTTTGCATGTTTTTTCCGCTAGATATATAAAAATGAATATTATTTTCTAGGTCGTAATTAACATGTTTGTTTTGTGCATAACTTTTTAAATCTAAGTGAGTCCTTGTTTCTGTGTTTGTTTGGCTCATTTGCTCAAATTAAAGTTGGATGGTTTTATTTTCCACTTCTTCTTAATAATAATTGATGTCACCACTATAAAAAAATAATGAGATATTTGTTGACTAAAATGTGGAAAATCTAAGTTTAAATATATTGCTCCAATGTTGTAACAAATGGCTTGATTTTCCCGAAGCGGATTGAATAATAGGCACCACATGTCCACATTTCAAAATTAAAAGAGTGTGATCTATTTTCTAAATTCATTTTAAGTTGGATGTATTTGTTGATATTTATCATTAAATGAATTTAATATCAAATACTCCAACCTAAGTAAAAGAATTACACCACTTTGGTAATATTTAGATTACATATTAAATACACTAAAGATTTTTATATAAGATAAAAAGTTTAGGTTGCGTCTGCCGGGAGTCGAACCCGGGTCTATTGCTTGGAAGGCAATTATCCTAACCGTTGGACTACAAACGCTATGAATGGAAGCAAACAACATAATTGTTTAATTGGATGCAATTTTAATAACACATCATTTATCCATATTTCATATCTCATTCCTTACGTGTTTTTGTACCATATTTATCATAAATGTGCCGTATAAGGCTAGAAGTAGTCATATGCTTTATTTCCAAGGCTTAGCACGATTTGGGGCAAATTAGGATAAATTGGTATAGGCGAGCCAATTGTAGCCAAAATTAGAAAAATCAACCAAAAGGTTTAGGAGACGAAGATCATAGTCGTAAACTCTAACCATGAAGGTTGTCCTAAAGATCATATTCAAGGGACTCAATATCACAATTGTATATACCATTATACTTATGTGGTTAGATGTTGGGTATGCCTGCCCTG